AGCTACAAACGAAGGCGAAAGCAGATTAAATGGGTTGTCGTGCGACCATCCGTGGTTCGGATGAATGCACATGAGTGCCCACCATCGGTTATTGTATGTTGCATTCAGGATGCGTGGCGTGTGCCGCCGTTTTCCTTTCCTGATGAGACCTTCCGTCACTAGGGGTGATACTCACCTCGAGACTCCCGATGCGATGAGGGATGTGGTTCAGATTGATCCAAGCTATATCACACGTTTAGGAGTGACGTGGAACTTATAAGTCCTGTGTGAGTATTGGACAACCCAATGCGGAACAAATAAACACTGACAAAAGCCACGACTGTCGTCCGTCAGTCGTCTGTGGTTGTGGTTCGGATTCATCCGAGCTACAAACGAAGGCAAAAGGAGATTGGGAGCTATCGGAGTCATGATTTCTTGAGATGTTTACTTCGAAAGCGATCCCCTGTGCCGTCGTTGTCCCTTCCACTGAGACATCGGAGGGATGCGGTTCCCGTTGAGACTTCCCACGAGCCGAGGGTTGTGGTTCGGATTCATCCAAACTACATCACACGTTCCGTAGTGAGGCGGAACAAAAACGTCCAGCCTGAGAATTGCATAACCCCTCGTGGGAGACAAAGAACACCGACAAAAGTCATGAGTGGCGGGTTGTCATGGACAAGGGGTCGCCTCAAGACTCTCGATGGGGGGACGTTGTGTGAAAACAATGGGTCGGATGTAAGGAGGGCATAGTCATCCAACCACTGGCATCGCAAATGACATCTACAATTACCTTCATCCCGAGATCGGATGAATCCGAACTCCATCCGGAACAAGTGGCACGAACAGCACTCTCTCACTCTCGCTGCAATCCCGAGAATGCCTTTCTAAGCTGCTATGGAAAACAAGGTTGCGATTAATTGGACTCGAAATGTGATCGGCGTGGATCGAGAGCTGATCATTCCCCGAGGTCATTGTGCGCTCATTCAACTCAGATTTCGAGACTGCAATCGTCGCGAGGATTGTCCACGTCAGAGTTCGCCCAAAATGAATCGTGGCGAGTGGACGGGCTGCCGCATGGGCGGCGGTGCTGTGAAGTTTTCCTGTGGGCGCGATGGCACTTCTGAGCGCTAGTTCCATATTCAAAATGTTGTCGATGAGTGTCCGGCGTCTCGCGCCCGGTTGCGTGGCGGTTCCTCATTGCTAGCTGCGTGTGCGAGAACAGGTGATGAGACAGGGAACGTTCAAGACAACAACAAAATAATCCTGATGTCGTCCGCAACTGCGATAGACATGTTCAATCACCGAGTCGATCGGAAACGAGCTCAAAGTTGGCCCTTGGCGGTGGGATGTAGCGTGATCGGCGGTAATCTGGGATGTTTCGGATTCGCCATGGGTATCCGTTCTGCGCAACGAATCGTCGCTGACCGTTGTAGATGGGTGGCTTCGCCACTGCTGGCTGTGAGTGCGACACGGGCGATTCCTGTTGGAGGTGCGCGTTTGTCGTGAGGCTTCCAGGTATCAGCGCTGCGATAACAGATCGTCCGATAGACGTCAACACCGGAGATGGATGGACGGGATCTTAAAGTCGATCGACACGCGTTTTTTAGTTGACGTCTCCGGTGTTGACGGCTATTGGGTGATGTGTTATCGCAGCGTTGATGACGCCAGGGAGCAACGGCGATGAAACTTCGTCCACGCATCAGATGCGGTCGTCGGAGGCATCCGACGATCTTGACTGCGAAAGCCGCAGGCCATTTCGAATTCCAGACGTCATGCACAAGATGGTGACGTCAGCGTGTGTCAGTGGAAGGGAACTTTCGTGGTTGTGAGCTGCGGACATCGTGGACTCAAGATCGCGCGCATGTCGACTCGTGCGTGATAGACGGAGCTGGCGGTGATGTAGAAGAATACTCGGACGACCGACTGCATTGCGATATCCTAAGTAGACTGGGGGAAGACGACCCGCGAGCCAGGGTCCAAGAAAGTGTGCCAACAAGCGATGTGGAGGACGTCAAGACTCGAGGGCGATGCGACTTTCTCCACGCGTCAGATGCGGTCGACGGAGGGCGCCAAGACTAGAGGGCGATGTTGAGGACGCCAACAAGCGATGGTGAGGATGCCTAAAAGCGATGGTGAGGACGCCGACAACCGATGGTGAGGATGCCAACAAGTGATTTTGAGGACACAAACAAGCGATGTTGAGGACGCCAAGACTCGAGGCCAATGACTGTGAAAGCCGCAAGCCATTGCCCGTCACTGACGTCATGTGCAAGATGATGACGTCAGCGTGTGTCACTGCATGGGGTCTTCCGTCGTTGTGATTGGTGGGCGTCGTGCGCTCAAGATCGTGCGCGCGTGATTGGCGGAGCAGGTGGTGGCAGAGAACAAGAATTGCACGGTCGAAGGAGGGGAAGGGCAATGGGAAGAGGTGGGGGCTTGAAATGGTGAAGGGGTCGAGCAGGGGGCGTGGGCTTCTTACTGACCTGCGAGTCGACAAACGCCTCCTGCCAACACAAGAAAGCACAGCGCGAACGGGACGACGCGCAAGGTCTACAGTCGCGTGATGTTTTTGTTAGCGCCCCTGGCTATCGACGATTGCTGGAAGAACGAGGGCCTGGATGCGCAAGGGGCCTGCGATATGATGCAGGTGACTTCGAGCGATGGCGGACGCGTCGCAAAGGCAGCACACGGAAGAAATGACACCAACGAACGGGTGTGACAGCCAACCCCATTGGTGCCCGACAGGAGAACGGAGAGTGCAGTGAGCGGGGCTTGAGGGGCCCTTCAACTGCCCGCTGCAAGTACTGCCGCGTGGGGGGCTGTGACATCAGGCGGTACCTTTTTTGAGGGACCCTCCTCACGAAATCGCACGGTCCGAAACCGTCGCGGGAGGGCGGGCCGTGATTACGAGAGGACTCGCCTTTTTTCACCGTGATATCGACGGGCCCAACGCATCATCTGGCGCAAATTTTCCCGCCCACTTTTGATTATCGTGGCCCGCTCGGATTTGACCACGATATCGACGGTTCAAACACGTCATCTGGCGTGACTTTTCCCGCCCACTTTCGTTTCTTGGGCCCCGCGCGGATGTATCTGTCATTCGAATGACGGTGGCACCATTCCGCGAATTTGCAGGTGGGCAGAGCAATCGTCCGAAGCAGCAGGTAATCGCAGGTGTCGCCAACCCTCACGGCCGAAAATGCTCGTCGCGCGCCCGGACCACCCGCCCTTGCCAGCGACACAGCCATCTCGTCGCCGAGGGACACAGCCATCTCGTCGGCGTCGTCGACATCTCCCCCGCCGTTTGGCTCGCTCCTCTCTCTCTCCCTCGTCGCCATATCCCTCGGCTCGCCATCTCCTTCGCGTCGCAATCTCCCACGTCTCCATTCGCGGTTTTGCCCTCTCATGCGTCGACACCTCCCTTTTCGCGCGTCGCGACACGCGTCGTCGTATTGCGGTTTGAGATCATCAACCAAGTCGCCGGGGCCATTGTTTCCAACAACAGTTGTAAATCGAGGAAAGAAAAGGTGCGTTCTCTATCTCATTCTATCTCCCTTTCTCATCTTTCTTTGTCTCACTCCTTGTCTCTCTCTCTCTATTTGGCTCTACCTCTCTTTCTCTCTCTCTCTCTCTCTCTCTCTCTCTCTCTCTCTCTGTAGCGCTCTCTCTCTCTTTCTCTCTATCTCTCTGTCTCTATATAGCTCTCTCTCTCTCTCTCTTTCTCTTTCTCTCTCTCTCTCTCTCTGTGTCCCTCTATCTGTGTCTCTATATAGCTCTCTCTCTCTATATATGGCTCTCTCTCTCTCTCTCTTTCTCTCTCTCTCTCTCTCTCTCTCTCTCTCTCTCTCTCTCTCTCTCTCT